TGCTTGTCCTTTTTCTACCTTTATGCTCTCTCGGTGATCATCAAGAATGCCACCAAGGATCCTATCACCATCCTGAAGCAGGCTCTCAAGTTTGTTCTTCATTCCACTAAAGAGTTGAAGCACTTTGAGAGATGGATACATATCTGCTAAGCTGAAACCAGTTGACAACTCGACAATTGCCTTTACTATCGATATGCATGCACCCTGATCTTTGCATTTACTACCAAAAAGCTGCCCTGGATGTTATCCCATATGTCAAGGAAAAGATTTTCTTACTTAGATTGATTGGGGATCCATCGTTTGAAGCTATGACTTTGACAAGAGCTGACACCTCTTCCTCTCTGATTGATCGGAATGACTGGACTCTTTTTGTAGTCAAGAGTTCTACCGTGCAGATTTTTCTCAAATGTCTCCAGTAACTTCCATACGGGGCAAAGGCAATATCCCTGGAATTATAAGTAATGATGTTGGGAACAATCATATGGGGCCTTTGTGCAAAGGTGATACCATTTGTTATCAAGACCTCTCGAGCAATTTCTGGGGAAGAAACCACAATTTTTGAAATTTCTCCAAGCTGGAGGTGCATCAGAGGTCCATGTTTCTTGGCTAAGTCTCTGAGGATGTGGTGGGGCAGTGAACCAACCAGTTGGTGCACGTTACCTATTAAAGGTAGTCTCCATGGCCCTCGTGGAAGCTTTCTGTTTTTGGTTTTCCATTTATTCATCACTTTCAATACCATGGAAAAGGAGAGAAAGAAGATGAACAGATTCAGCAAAGAGGGAAATTGAAGCTCCATGGAGAATATTAAAGGGGTGTAGCTGATTTTTAGTTAATCCCAATCTTGGTTATGTGGAATGCTTTTCAGTTTTTATCTTGATTAAATTTTTAATTTGGTCCTTGAACTATTATATAGACTTTTGATTTGGTCTCTAAACTAAAATAATCTTTAAGTTGGTCCCTAAATTGTTGTAAAGACCCCCAATTTGGTCCCTACTGTTTACCAATTTACCCCGAATTGATCCTTTCGTACAAAAACCAACTAACGTATCTTGTTATTAACGTGACACATAACCATTATTATTCATCATTAAGTTACTATTTTTCGCTATTAAGTAATAGATACGTTAGTTGTTTGAAAAGATCAATTTTGGGGAAATTGATAAATAATAGGAACCAAATTGGAGATCTGTATAATAATTTAGAGATCAAATCAAGAATTTTTTTAGTTTAGAGGTTAAATCATAAATTTGTATAATAATTCAGAACCAAATTGAAAGTTTAACCTTTTATGTTTTTAAGAAAACACAAGATTGCTTCCAGGAAAAAAAATGTTTTTTTTTTTAAATAAGAAAAAAAGCTAATTAGGTTAGGTAGATATATATACTAGCTAGTGAACCATATTATATAGGAAAATTATATTTGCTTGCATCGAATATGGTATATTTGCTTACATTGAATATGATATATATGCTTGCCTCGCCTGAAGATCAAAGATATTATAACATTCCTTTTCATCAGCAAGTTATCAATGAGGTGGAATATCGTTTTACACTCAGCAAAGATATGATAAAGATAAAGACTTCCACACACAAAAAAAAAAAAAAAAAAGATATGATAAATCTAAAGATCCACCAAAAAAAAAAAAAAGATATGATAAAGACTTCCATTGCAATTTAATCATTATTAGTAAATTAATGTGTGGTCATGCATTTGACACTTAGCAGGCTAGCTAGGTTGTAGACCTGTAGAACCTCCTCCCCTCAAATGTTCATAAGGCCAAGCAGATTGGGTACTAGAGACTTCTTATTTTGTCTAGTGAGTTTCCCTCGATCAATTTGGAGTCAACAACAGACAGCAATGAGGAATCGGATCTCCGCCTTTGGATGCGTTAGGGT